TTTATTAGATTGATCAGTGTTGCTGATCTATGAAATATTTTGGGTGCAGTGTGGTTTTTTTTGTTTTTTTTACATACAGGTATAACAGAATAGCTTTAGTGTTGTTGTTGTTTTTTAACTTCAGTATGAACTTATACAAAAAGCAGCAAGATATTAAAAAAACAGTTTTACTGATTAAAAAACACTATATCGGATTCATATCGGTATCGGCAGATATCCAAATTTATGATATCGGTATCGGACATAAAAAAGTGGTATCGTGCCATCTCTACAAGAGACTACCTCTAAAATAATAAAAAAAATCTAAAAACGTCTCCTCAGGTGCAAAGAGAAGTGTGTGTGTGAGGCTTGTGGAAACACCAGTTTGTCTATGGAGAGAGTGTGCTCACTGAGCAGCCCCGACAGCAGCCTCAGCACCAGTTCGTTTGCCTCCAACTCTCTTCAGTCCAGCCCTTCAGTCTCACCATGCAAGAGAGCCAACAGGTAACAGTTTACATCCTTCAGTAACTAAAAAAAGTTGCTCAACAGAAAAACACTGAAAACACTTTTAAGTAGCGGTTGCTTGAATCTTCTTTGTTTGTTTGTCCCTCCCCTCCTGTTCAGCATGTCTGAGGATGATGGTCACGAGAGCGGCTGTGACACAGTGGAAGGCTCCCCCTCATCCGACACGTCGACTTCCCCTCGCGGCAACAGTACCTATCGTTACCTTGACAACAGTAACCACAACAACCGCCCGTCTTTGGCTGCCGTAGTAGCGCCACTACCTTCGCCTACTGTGCAGGGCAGGAGCCCACGTGGCATCAGGACAATGGTAGTTCCACCAATGAGAGTGCAGAATAACAACACTCAGGGGATAGAGGAGCGTGTCCAGAGAAACGGTCAGTGAAAACTGATTCTTCAATGCAAAGTTTGTCTATGTCTATAATTATAATCTGAGGTTGTTTTTGTTTTATTGTATCTTTTTGTTTGTTTTTTGTTACACGTACAGAGAGCTTTGCGCTGTTTTTGTTTTTTACTTTAAAAAAGTGTATAAAAGTGGAGTTTTTAAACAACCCACCTGAAATAGTGGTGGTGGTGGGGTGGGGGTGGTCATGTTTTTGGCCCAGTTGTGTGGTCTGTCACCTGTGCTTTGGTGGTGTTTGCTTTACAGGTCATTTGGAAGCAGTAGGGGCTTACCGCCCCCTAGTGGGTCATAGAGGCTTTAACAGGTGATCAAGAGACAACAGCAGAAGACTTTCTTCTAGTCTAAGACCTCAAAAGATGCATCCGTTGTAGGCAATGCTAACATTGCCTCTGTTATGGCTTTCCCTCCATTTGAGTTGAAAAGTTTTTCTTCTTTAAATCTGCATAGTCTTCCATCAGTGATCCACATTATATTACAGTAGTTTCTAAAGGTTTACATAAAGACAGGACAGGATACTCTGTTGGATCCTACGTACGGAGGGGGAAAGGAGGATGCATTTGGTTTGGTACTGGACCAGAGCTTGAGTTTTTGCCGTTGGTTCTTGCTGTGCAGCAAAAGTTATCCTGAGACACTGACATGAGATCAGTTTCTATACCCAGAATATAATTCTGTATTATAAATGTGTTAATTGTGCAGTGAGTTTAAAACTGATACAGATCAGAGTCTGAGGATCAACTTTGCTCAGATGCCATTTTCTGAGTGTCCATTGTCTTTTTTCCCCTTTGCCTG